AGGCTAGAGCTCATATTCTAGCTCTACCTTATGCAAGTCAAGGACATATATCTCCCATGCTACAATTTTGTAGACGTCTAGTCTCCAAAGGTGTCAAAGCATCCCTAGCCATCACTAAGCACATCTCCACCACCATAAACCCTAAATCGGATGACTACGTTAGCCTCGTGACCATTAGCGATGGTTACGATGATAGTGGATATGCGGGGGCAGAAAGTTCTGCTGCGTACTTTGCTAGGTTTGAGACCGTTGGGTCTCAAACCCTAGGAGACCTTATAGAGGAACCCTAGGAGACCTTATAGAGGAACATGTTAGTAAACATGACCCTATAACTTGTATAGTGTATGATCCATTTTTACCATGGGGTCTAAATGTGGCTAAAAAGTATGGACTACTTGGGGCTGCTTTTTTTACCCAACCATATGGTGTAAATTATATTTATTACTTGATTTACCATAGGAAGCTTTTGATGCCAATTTCTTCACCAATGGTGCATATTCCGGGGTTGCCTCCGTTGGAAGTTGACGGCTTACCATCTTTTGTAAGCTCGTCGGGGTCTTACCCAGCTTACTTTGAATTGGTTTTGAACCAATACTTCAATTTGGATGAGGCTGATTTTGTGCTTGTCAACACTGTCTACCAGTTGGAGGAAGAGGTAATGTATTCATGCTCTAGGTCATGTGACTTATGAAGTATGGTTTTGTTTATTTGATGTAAAACCTATTGCATGAATTTCCCTTTACTACGAGGATGCTTTAGTTTCTCATAGTGAGAAATAAAATTTGTTTCTCATATATATGGTATTTTCGTAAATAAACCAACAAATTTATTCAACTTTATTCAATTGTGTAGCCTACAATAACGAAAAAGTTATTGATTTATTCACGAAAATGCCCCCATGAAAAATAAATTTCGTTTCTCAATATGAGAAACACCGACGAAATTTCCCTTTAATACCTAGTTTCCATTTTCAACAAATAATTTACGACCTACGTTGGGAGGAAGTAAAAATATATTATATTAGCATAAGCTCATTCGTCATGCAAACACACCAACATATATTATTATACGAGTAGCATGTTTGTGAATGATGTTAACTTTAACAAATAGCTTAAAATTTATTTTTCTTACACTCAATCTTTGTCTCGACATGCATTCAATTATTAATATTGCACCAAAAAGGAATTAGTGGACATAGTATCATTAGATGGTCTAATAGTATCATGAAACTTTCTACTAGCTAATCCACTTATATTGTGTGTACTTGCATACGACACATATATAACTTAGAAAAATCTCAAATGCCAATGAGTCAACAATTTCCCAATTTTTAATATGGAATATATAGAATAAAATTTCTTTCATTTATTTTATTTACATATTCATATGCATCAATGACCTTGACTCATTGACATGGGTATAAATGAAAATTCAAGTCATTAATTATATGTTCCATAAAAATTACACTATTGTTGAATTAACAGTATAATTCGCTATAAAACTTAGAAAAGTCATGCATGGCACGGGAGTTAAGCTAGTATGTATATTAACTGATGTGAAGCCTCTTTTAATTTTGATCTCAGATAGTTGATGTAATGTTCAAAGAATGTCCATTATTAACAATTGGCCCAACAGTTCCATCATTTTACGTAGACAACCGAATTCCACATGACAAAGATTATGGCCTTAGTCTCTACCACATTGATCCTAATATCACCAATTGTTTAAGCATGAAGCCACCTAAGTCAGTGATTTATGTCTCATTTGGTAGCATGGCAAGTCTAACAAAGGCTGAAACCGAAGAATTAGCATGGGGATTGAAGCAAAGCGAACATCACTTCTTGTGGGTGGTTCGAGCATCCGAGGAAGGCAAGCTTCCAAAGGGCTTTGCTGATGAAGTAGCCGCGAAAGGCCTAATTGTAAGGTGGTGTCCACAACTAGAGGTACTCTCTAGTGAGGCAATTGGGTGTTTCTTTACTCATAGTGGTTGGAACTCGACACTAAAGGCATTGGTTATGGGCGTCCCTTAAATAGGGATGCCACGATGGACCGACCAACCTATGGTTGCTAAGTTTGTTGAGGATGCGTGGAAAGTAGGAGTAAGAGTAGTGAAGGTCAACAAGGAAGGGCATGTAAGAAGAGAAGAAATTAAGGAACGCATAATTGAAGTGATGGAAGAAAAAAGGGTGGAGTTCATTGAAAATGGTAAGAAATGGAAACTGTTAATGAAAAAAGCAATTTCTAAGGGTGGATCTTCCGATAGGAACATTGATGAGTTCATATCCAAAATCACAAGGTCTTAATAATGATTTGTTTAAGTTAATTTATATTGTTGAAAAATAACGTTTACGGCCCTGCTCACTTCACCTTAAACAAATAATATTTGGTAAAAAAATTTCAGTTCATTAAAATAAGTTAAATTTAGTAAAAATGATTTCAGTTCAGTATAAATAATTATAATTCAGTAAAAATTAGTAAGTTTAAAGAAGAAATATAATAGAGAATTAGCAAAAATAGTTTCAGTTAAGCAAAAAATTTCAATTTAGTAAAAATAATTTTAGTTCAGTATAAATAATTTAATATCAGCAGAAAATGATTTCAGTTCGATCAAAATAATTTCAATTCAACAAAAATAAGTGAAGTGGACATCGCCGTACTATCTATAATTTGCTACCTTTTTTTTTTTTTTTGAAGAATTATAATTTTCTCCCTTGTCATTAGCAAATATGTTTGTATACTTATTAAGTCATGTTAATATATTTGATGTGTGTGTCAATCTAAAATATGTATAAATTTCATATGAATGATATGATGCTAATTTAGTAATTTAAGCTCAAATCTCAATGGTTTACAAATTCGATCACTTAGGGTTCGTTTGACATTGCTGTGGATTTCTGTTTTTTTGTTTTCTAAAAGTATATGATATGAGTCCCAGAATGAATCAAAAATTATATAAACTTATTAAAATTAGGAAATTTTAGATTTTAACACCATACAAATCAATGAAAATTGATATTAACACCACCCAAAAAACAAAATTTTATTTTAACACCACATAAAAAATTGAAAATTTGAAGTTACCACCAGATAACGGTTTCTGTGATGGAAAAGTGACGTGGGTCCCATGTTTTAGGTTTGCCTCCAAATTTCACACTTAGTAAACACGATTCTTCCTCTTCATTGATTACTTCCAACCATCTTCATTGAATTCACTCTGAATTTTCATCTACTCAAAGTAATATCTTCATCTAGGGCATTCAATTGCTTAAAATTTGTGTGGTTGGGGATAGGAAAGTACAAGGGAGCTGTCATTAGCAGAAGAAAAGCGTTTGAGGATTTCGTCATCCATCTTCAAAAAAAGGGCAAAAATTGCTGGCAATCTGACAATTACAGGTGAAAGATTCCAAAGAAGGTATCTTTTTTATCTTTTTACAGCAATTTCGTCTATTATTGGTGAATGGTTGATGTCAATTTTGCAATTTTATGCTTAATTGGGGTTACTTTGGCAACTGAAACTAAGAACCCTAGAAAAAGGGATTATTTTGAAATTGACTGCGAATTAGGTTAATTGGTGGTTTAGGTTGAAATTTGACACTAATTAATTGGGGTTTATGTGAATGAACTTATTGAAGACTGTATATGTGTGATTTGTTTATTGATGCATGTTGGACTGGATTATTTGTATATTTTAAGTTAAATATTCAATTACTGTAGTTGATTAATAAAGTGTTGATATTATATGTCTTATAATAAATTAATAATACTATTGTATATGTGTTATTGGTGGGTAGATAATGGGTGACAATGAAGATATGGTTGACATCTGTCTAAGGGTGGGGGGTGCATTTGTCCCTAAAAGAGTTAGCAAAGATAGACAGTTGCTTTGTTGGTGTGGGGGGTGGTGTTATTGGAGAAGAAAAGTCCCAGTGTCTAAGTTGGATGTACAGGAGATTAGGTCAGCTGCAATTCATGGATTTGTTAATGGTGATATGGAGGTGCCTGTCTATTTCAATTGTTGGTATAGGCAGAAGGGGAAAACTTTTAACACTGGTAGAAGGGAACTAGTCAACAGTGATGAAGTGAGGGGCCTTTTAGAGACTAGAAATGGAGAGGGTTATGTAGAAGTCTTTGTGACAGCACAGCCTAATTTGAAGCCCACAACTAAGGCCCAACCCAATCCCCAGCCAAAGGATAAGGTTACTAAAAAAGGGAAGAAGGGTCAAAGTACTTCAACTGTCAGTATTAGGAGAAGCCCTAGATTTAAGAAGACTGAGACTGAAAAGGAGGAAAGTCCACCAAGGGAGAAACTGAAGGGGAAGGTTGTAGAAGCTGGAGTGTCTGGTAGTTCAAAACAGAAGAGTAAGCTCAAAGGTAAAGCCTCAGCAAAGGATAAAGCATTGGTGTTTGAAGAGGATGATGATGGTGGCAATAAATCTGATTACTCTAGCTCAGATTTGAGTGATGAAGACCTAGATTGGGAACCAGGTGAAGAAGAATTTGATGAAGGGGATGAAGAATGGTTTATTGAAGGGTCTAAGGACATCTTAGAGAAGGTTAACAAGAATATGAGGAAACTGCAGGGAAGTGGCATAGATGAGGGTGTTGTGAAAAATAAGAGGTCAGATCTGAAAGATGACCTGGATATAGGAACAGTTAGGGTCAATCCAGAGGATGATGAAGGTGATTTAGAGAGTTCAAGAAGCTTGTGTGGATCTGATTCAGAGGAGGATACTGCTCCATGGTTTAATGAAGATGTGGACTTCCAGAAGCCCATCCAGCTGCAGGTGAGGCAGAAGTTCAAGAATGCTGCAATATTAAGAAGGGTATTGAGACTGCATGCCATTCAAGAGAGGTATGAGTTTTAATTTTTTGCATAATGACTCTAAGAGGATTACAGTGCAGTGTAGGTATAGATGTGACTGTGAGTTCAATAGTTATACTTGTAGAATGTCTGCATGTACATGTGTGTGGGGGGGGGGGGGGGGTAAAGTGTCATTTTAAGGTTTATGCATCAAAACTGGTCAAGCAGGAAACTTGGCAAATTAAAAGCTAAAAATTGAAACACAGTTGTCTTAGAGTCAAGAAGAATAGGATGATTACTGCTGAGTTCACTGCAGACAGATATCTAGAGGAGTTTAGGTGTAATTCTGCATGGAGAATTAAGGATATTAGGGCCAGGGTTCTTAATGACTTTAAAGCATGGATGGATAGGTGTAGGGCTAAACTCATCATATATGGGTCAGCAAGGGAGCAATATGCTAGGTTGTGGGATTATGGGAGGGCTGTGATGAAGTATAACCCTAGGTCTGGGTGCAATGTGGTTGTGGAAGGTATAGACAGTCCTGAGCCCCCTATGTTTTTGAGAATGTTCATGTGTCTAAGGCCTTTGAGAGATGGGTTTGCTAAGGGTTGTAGGCCAATGATTGGGGTGGATGGTTGTCACCTCAAGGGTGCATATCCTGGAATTATATTGGTGGCAGTAGCTAAGGATGGGAATAACAACCTGTTCCCCCTAGCTTGGGCAACAGTGGAGGCAGAGAATAAAGATAGCTGGGGTTGGTTCCTAGAGTCTCTAATGGCAATGTTCACACATGATCAAGGAGAAGGGCTGACAATAATGTCAGACAGGCAAAAGGTAATAGTTTTTGCCTTTTTTTTTGCACATTTTCATTTTCATTTGTACTTGTTTTTTTTTCTTTGTGTAAGTAATTAGGATGAATTATTGATATTGTGAATGAATATGGTAGGGGCTTCTGGAAGCAATGGCTGATATAGTACCAAAAGCTGAAAAAAGATTCTGTGTAAGGCACATTTGGGCAAATTTCAAGCTCAAATTCACTGGGTCAACATTCAAAGAATTGTTTTGGGCAGCAGCCAGATCAACAACTGCAGTAAGTCATCCCATTCCAATACTTATTTAATGTTTGTATGCATATGTGTGGGAATGTGCTTGTCTTAAGTGAAGGAGTTATGTCTTCGTCGTGTGCAATTACTAGATACATAAATGGATCAAATTATGGAGATAATTAAGTTCGTACATTTGGGTCGTCGTTTTGCCATAGCTAGAGGTACTAACGATTTTTGGACTAGTAAAATAGCCCAAAGCCCAATTGGACGGATCCTATAAGGTCACACAAAGGGGCTAGATCGAGCATTAGAGGACGAGGCCCATCATGGGCCTCATCACTCTAGGTGGCCGGCCATATGGAGTGGACAAGGGAGTTTTTGGGCTTCGTGCCCTAGTCTAATTATAATGAGATTATAAATAGACTAGGTGCCTAGGTTTACAGCAAGTAAGCAATTAACTGATCAGTGTGATCAAACCCTAATTAGCAAACACGAAACCCAACCCTCTCAAAGTCCTCTCTCTCACACGGCTCTCTCCTCCTCCTAGGCGCCGGTGGTGTGTCGTGGTGGTGGTGGTTCGTGCGGTGGTCGGTTGTCCATAAAGGTGGTGATCGCGGTTTTCCTCAATCACTCGACCAATCTAGTATTAGTGGACGGCTCGTTCGAATCTCGTGGACTAAGTAGAGGAGCAACGCTTGGGGCTCTATTCTCTCCCTGATTTGCCTGTCGAATAGCTTCGTGGAATTCACGCGTCAAAGGTATGATTATGTGTCTTGTGTGTTATGCATGTGATTCTTGGGATTGGTACTTGATAGAATATGATTCATGTTTTTCCGCTGCGTAGTACCTATAAACTTTGACTAGGATTTTCTGAGCATATTCCAAAAGGATAATAATTGATTTAAATAATGTGATTATCCCATAATTAGATTAGGATATAATTGATTTTAAAATTATTTGATTGGCTAGTAATTAGGATAGAATCTCCTAAATTTGTTAGGATAATCATGAAAGATTAAATAAGATTTATCTTTCTAAATTAAAATATGATTTGATTCTATCTCATGACCAAATTAAATATATGATATTTTATAAACGGTCATGAATAATATATGATATTATCTAATTATGATTAAAATATAAGATATTTTAGGAAATGCGTTAACTTTATTATGAACATTCGATGTTGTAGTTTAGACAAGCATGTTGTGTGATTTATTATATGACACTTTTATAATATATGATATTATGTTGCTATATATAGACTAGTATGGCCCATAGATTCTTAAATACGATCTGCGCATCGTGATGTATTTTTGTAATCTAAATACGGTCTGCGTATCGTTAAGTATTTTTGTAACTTTTATTTAAAGTAAATAGAATAGCTATTTAAATAGTGTTTGTCAAAAGAAGCCCAAGAAGTGAAGGCCCAAAGGAGCAAGGTGGATGGAGATCCATGATGATTCAAGTGGGAGCTTTTTCATTTCTAGTTTTCTTAGGACTAAGGGGCCATACTATGTCATGCTTTATTGCATTAGTAGATTATGCATGTTAGATTTTATTTATGTTGATTGATGATGCGCTAGAGTTCACTAAATAATCACAACATAATAAATCTTGGTCCTAGTAATATTGAGATTGCTTTTCCAATTAAAAACCCGATGAAACCTTTGATATTTATGATGGGTCATGCCAAAGCTGGGTGTCATATTATATCTTAGGGGAGTGGGGGTAAAACAAATTTTACACTTTTAATTGGTTGTACTCAACAAGGTTACCTAAAGAGTTTAGAACCTTGAAGCAAAGGGAAATAATTAAGCATGTGATGATTAATTATTCAACCAAGAGTTACAAGAGTTGTAATCAGTAAAGAGTTTACTCACCTTGAAAATGTAATGGTTGATGGTAGGGCCAAAGTCCGGTCAATTATTGCACAAATAAAGGATCTTGGAATCACTTAAAATTCAATTGAGATCAATTAATTATTGAATAAAGTGTTTTAAAGTTACCAAATGAATGCGTTTATGGTACTTTGATTAAACATAATTATTAAACAATGACAATAACGTTTACAACCTTCGACCATTCCTTGAGAAGGATAGGTTGACAGGGGAGAACTTTTCCACTTGGGAAAGAATGCTAAGACTTGTTCTGAAATCTGAGGGTAAAGAGGATATCATTGATACCCCATTACCAGGACCTCTGCCAGAAAATCCAACTGCGGCAGAGATCAAGAAGCACAAGGAAGCTCATGACAGAGCTATACCTATCACTTGCTTAATGATTGCTACCATGGAGCCTAGTCTTCAAAAGCGTTTTGAGGACCAGGATGCCTACTCAATTATGAAAGAACTCAAAGCTTTGTTTAAGAAACAAGCTAGAGTTGAAAGGTATGAGCTCCATCGTGAGATTCTGGATTGTAGGATGGAGAAGGGAGCCACAGTTCATGATCATGTTTTCAAAATGATTGGCCTAATTCAAAGTATGGAGAAACTGGGGCACCCATATAGTGATGATTTGGCAACAGACATTATTCTCCATTCACTACCAGAAAGTTTTAACCAGTTTATCATGAATTTTAACATGACTGCCACTGCAAAGACTGTGAATCAATTGCATGCAATGCTGGTTAGTGTTGAGAAACAAATCCCTAAGGAACCTAAGAAGGAAGTTCTTATGATTCAAAAGGGAAAGGGGTTCAAGAAGAAGGGGCAAAAGGCTAGTGCCAAGAGCAAGGGCAAGCAAGTTGCCAAGGCTCCTGAAAAGCCTAAGACGACTCCAAAGCCCAAGGCTGCAAGTGAAAGTGAATGCTTTTACTGCAAGAACAAGGGGCATTGGAAGCGAAATTGCCAGAAATACCATGACTTCCTCAAGAAGAATGGAGCATCAACCTCAGGTATAAGGTTATGAACATTTTAACTTTCACTTAGGTATGAGATACCAAGTTGCAGTGCTTAACATAGTGATGTTGCGCAGGAACTGCAAATAAGTGAAGCTAGCTTGGAAATGGAGCTTCAAGGTGCACTAGAAGTATTTGAGTGGCAGAGATAGCTTCATAGTTTTAAATTTTGATTAGTTTATCATGATTTTAGAACAATTTCCAGTTTTGAGAGACAATATTTCGGTTTTCTTGTTTTGAATGCTGAATTTGGTTTACTTGGCTTGGACAAGTGTTGATCCATGACCAAGGTAATAAATTGTTTTCATTTTGCTAGATATGAGTTGATTTTGTTTTATGACATTGATATACGTAGATCACAAAAATAATTTAGATGATTCAAAATACACTTACTTACAACAAGTAAAGTTAGGTCACATTAACCATTTGCACATCCAAAGTTAAGGATGGACTCATATTCTTATATGATTATGAATCACTTGAGAATTAGAAGTCATGCTTGATAAAAGTTAAAATGACCATGTTGCCTTTTAGTAGAAGGGGTAAAAGAAGCTAAATGACCTTTTTGTACTCATACATATGATGTATGTGAACCAATAAGTTCAAAATTAGCAAAGAGATTTAACTATTTCATTGCTTTTACTAACGATTTAAGTAAATACATCGATAATTACTTAATGAAGTAAAGCTTGGAAACATTGAAATGTTCAAAGTTCCAAAATGAAATGTAAAATCAGTTTGAGATAAACAATTTAACACCACAATATGATTGTTGTGTGAAATATTAACTCAAAAGGAATGATCATCTAGAGGGAATTGTTGAATTAATTCACAATCCAGAAACATTACAATTAAAATGTATGTTTATGAAGAAGGAATCAAACTTTGCTTGCCATTGTTCGATCCAAAATTTAATGATTTACAAATATCGTTTTGAGGATATGCATTAGAACAACAACAATTGCGAATATACTAAACAGAAAACTTAACCAAAGTAGTAGAAAAGATGTTATAAGAGTTATGATTTGGAAATATTCCAAAAGTTATCTTTTCTAAACAGGATTAAGGGTTATGAAATCAATGTAAAATGTTTACAAAGATAACATAATACACCCTAAATCAGAAAATTAGTTCTTCATGGGTTTTTTCTCATGGAAACTAAGAGGTATTATTCCTACAATCGCGTAGAAACAAAGTGTTTGTTGCTCGCGATAGTGTCTTTATAGAAAGAATGTCTTCCTACAAAGCCAAGTGGGAGTAAAGTTAGATCTCGATGAGATTCGAGACGAGCAACAAATGGATGTGGATAACACTACATCAGAGACGAAGGCATATGAAATCAGCTAATTTGATAAACCATGTGTCGAAGCAAGCTAATTCCACTAGCGAGGCTTCTGCCGTCCCACTAGAATGAAAGGCTTCAAAGAGTTGAAGAGAATAATTCTATTGTCGCTCATACCTATCGTAGGTTACTTGGGATCAAAACAAACAATTTTTTGAAATTCTGAGAAAAGGTGGATTCTAAAATTTTCTTATTAGAACGGTTAGAATCCATGGCCTACAATCAAGCTTTGGATAAGTGCCAACTCAGGAAATGGCTTAAAGCCATGAAATCCAGTATGGACTCCATGTTTGTAAAGATGTGTTAGTCTATAATAGTCTTACAAATGTCAAACCTATTAGTTGGGTAAGCCTATTCATATTATTCTAGTTATGGATATCAAAATCGCTTTCATGAAATGTTCTTGATGGTGAGAATGTATATGATACATCCTAAGAGTTTTGAAATCCAGAAATTCCTAGAAAGTTTTGCAAACTTCAGAAATTCATTTATGGATTGAAGTAAGCATCAGGAAGTTGGAACATTCGTTTTGATGAGGCAATCAAACAGTTTGATTTCCTTAGTAGAACGAAAGATTTCTTGTAGAGACAAGAAGTTTAGTGGGAGCAATTGGTCTTTTAGTCTAGTATGTAGTTGACATACAGTTCATATGAAATGATATATCAATGCTTGAATAAGTCAAGCAATGGTTAGAAAGATTGTTTCAATATGATAGACTTATGAGATGTTGAGTACATATTGGGAATTAAGATCCATGAAGTGAATCTTGAAGAATGACTGGAATGAATCGAGAGACTTATGTTGATAAGGATCTTGACAAGTTCATGAAGCAAGACTCTAACATAGGATATCTTCCCATGTTTCATGGTAATACACTCAGTAAGACTCAGTGCCTTCAAAAGCTAGTAGAGTTGAGTTGTATGGATAGTGTACCTTATGCTTTTGCAAAAGGTTCATTATATGTGCCATGAAATGTACAAAGCAAGATGTTGCATATGACTTGTACATATGTAGCAAGTTTCAAGCAAATTCAGAATAAGCATATAGAGAATTACCAGGAACAAATCCTTGAGTACTTGAGAAGCACTAAAAAGGATTTTTCTAGCCATTGTAATTTAAATAACTTGTCAAAAGGTTACACAAATGCAAGTTTCCAGACAGGCAAGATGATTCTAGATGGTGATCTAAATGCATGTTTATGTCTGTATGAAAAGGACAGTGAGCTTGAAGAGTTCAAAGCAGAGCACTGTTCATACTCAATGTCAGAATATGTGTATTAAAATATAGTCAGATAGTTACAGAGGAAGTTCGGATTAAAATGTCATGTGACTAACAGGTCACCTTTGCCCAAGAACAAAGGAGCCAGAGTCATATCACAAATCCAAACAAAAGGATATGAGATATCACCTCAATTATGAGATCATTGACCAGTGGAAGGTCGTGTTCTACAAAGTTTTAATATGAGTGAGAAATCACTAAACCCCTTCCATGGGCTAAGGTATGAGAGTCATATTAAAGTCTTAGGATTGAAGCAAGTTATGTAATTTAAGTTGTATATGTTTTGAGAAAACATATTACATGAGAAATGCATCAATTTGCAGAATTATGTTTAAAATAGAAATTTTTATTTCTCTTATTTAATTGTGGTTTTGGAAATTAAATAAAATGTCCAAAATAATTATGAATTGATGGGCTCATCAGGTTGATGACCTGGTGAATTGAAACCCCACAGGTGAACAAAATTCATACATTATTTAAAGTTCCTAGTTCGAGATCATTAAAGTGGACATAAATGATTTCAATAAATGAACTAGCATGTAAGATTGATTGGATAACGCAGTTTCATGGGCTATAGGGGCATAGTGATGCTCGGTCAATCACTTGGATATGCATGAATGATGCATGATCGAACTATTGACCTACTTTGAAGTTCAAGTATAGAGCTTCCGTATATATTAGTGGATTCCTTTGACATGAGTGGAACATTGATTTCATTCAATGGATGTTGTGACTGTGGTACACTCAAACGTCTAGCCGTAACTGGAGATTATAAAGGGTGTTTCCTGGTTATTTCAGAAGTTGAGTGGGAGTCATGTTGTCACAAGATTGGATAGAGTCTACCTATTAAATTAGGAAATGTGTCATGGCCGCTTGAAGAGGGAGAATTCAAAAAATACGTGGCCGCGTTCAAATGCATTACACAGTAATCATTTGTTTTTGTAATTCTAACTCAGATTTCAAGAAACGATTTGTACATTAATATGATCTCGACATGTGATGCAGTCATATTATCAAATCGACACATATATTGACTTAAGGAATTTGAATATTGCACGCTTGTCACAGACAAGTGGGAGATTGAAGGAATTATGTCTTCATCGTGTGCAATTACTAGATATATAAATGGATCAAATTATGGAGATAATTAAGTTCGTACATTTGGGTCGTCATTTTGCCATAGCTAGAGCTACTAACGATCTTTGGACTAGTAAAATAGCCCAAAGCCCAATTGGACGGATCCTATAAGGTCACACAAAGGGGCTAGATCGAGCATTAGAGGACAAGGCCCATCATGGGCCTCATCACTCTAGGTGGCCGGCCATATGGAGTGGACAAGGGAGTTTTTGGGTTTGTGACCTAGTCTAATTATAATGAGATTATAAATAGACTAGGTGCCTAGGTTTGCAGCAAGTAAGCAATTAACTGATCACTGTAATCAAACCCTAATTAGCAAACATGAAACCCAACCCTCTCAAAGTCCTCTCTCTCACACGGCTCTCTCCTCCTCCTAGGCGCCGGTGGTGTGTCGTGGTGGTGGTGGTTCGTGCGGTGGTCGGTTGTCCATAAAGGTGGTGATCGCGGTTTTCCTCAATCACTCGACCAATCTAGTATTAGTGGACGGCTCGTTCGAATCTCGTGGACTAAGTAGAGGAGCAACGCTTGGGGCTCTATTCTCTCCCTGATTTGCCTGTCGAATAGCTTCGTGGAATTCACGCGTCAAAGGTATGATTATGTGTCTTGTGTGTTATGCATGTGATTCTTGGGATTGGTACTTGATAGAATATGATTCATGTTTTTCCGCTGCGTAGTACCTATAAACTCTTACATTAAGTTGTTTACATTATTGCATTTTGTCAGTTTAACTTCAAATTTGCCATGGACTCTATCAAAGAGTTATCAGAGGATGCATGTCGGTATTTAGTGAACATTCCCCCCAGGTCTTGGTCAAGACATGCATTTTCATCTAACTGCAAGTCCAACATGTTGTTAAACAACATGTGTGAGACTTTCAATGCAGTCATCAGGCCTGCCAGAGATAAGCCTATCCTCACCCAATTGGAATGGATGAGGAGGTATGTAATGAATAGGAACAATGAAAAGTGGGAAGATTCTAAAAAGATTTCCAGCAACCTTACCCCCTATGTGAGACATGTGTTGGCTAGGATAGAATTTGTGGCTAGGAAGTGTGTTGTGCAACCATCTAGAGGGCAAACATTTGAAGTGCAGTTGATGGATGATCAAGAGTGTGTGGATTTGGAGGACACTTGTACCTGTTACCATTGGGAACTTACTGGGATTCCCTGTGTCCATGCTTATGCATGCATGAGGACATTAGGGGTGACATAGAGGCTTATGTGGACCCTTACTACACCATGGACTCATACAGGAAGGCTTATGAACCCCCTATCCAACCCATGCCTGGTCCTAAACACTGGGAGAGAGTGAGTATGAGGGAATCACAGCCTCCAGCATTTAAGGTACATCCTGGAAGACCAAAGAGCAAAAAAAGGAAGCTGGAACCAGGGGAATGTTCTACTTCAACTGCACAACCACAGACAGCAAAGAGGCAGAAACAATGCAGTAAGTGTGCAGGTTTTGGTCATTATGCCAAGACCTGCAAAAACACTCTTCACCAGCAACTGAGGAGCCAAGGCAACCAGGGAGACCACCCTCCAACACTCCTTGGATGGTGGAGGAGAGGAAGAAGAAAGAACTCAGAGCTGCCAAAAAGGTATAAACCTTGAACCTTGTGTTTCTGTAACTTTATGAATTTGATCCTGTAAGCTGGCTATGTTGTGATTTCCCTAAAACAGAGCTCAAGTCAGCCAAGCTCAAGTCAACCAAAGCCAAAGCAGCAGTCTAAGTCAAAGGCAAATCCTTCCTCCATCCAACCTGCAACAACCACTACTCAGCATCCACACAAAACTTCTAAGTGTTCCTCAAGTCAGCCTGCAACAACAATAGTTCAAAAACCATCACACACAGGTGTGATAATTAGGGCCAAGCTGCAAAATTTCAAGGATGTTAACCTCACTCAGTGATGTAATAGCTAGAAAACAATATTATGTTTGAATTCATATTTATGTCATCATTTTGTTTGTTTGTCATTAGCATTTGAACAACCAGAGATATTAGGATGGTGTACATTATGTATGGCTGTAATTGCCATGAAGACAGGTTCAAGTAAACACCTTTTGGCAACTATTTATGAATATATATGTTCTGTTAACTAATTTGGCAATAATTCCCTATTTTACTGCATGCATGTGCTTTCAATTTTTTTTCAAAAACCATCATAACTGAACATCAACCACATGATTATAAATACTTGGAATTCATTCACTAAAATATTTAGAATTTCATTACACAAAAGTTCCCAACACTACAAGTCACAAAATAACAATTCAAACACCTACTTCTATTGCAACTAAACACCCCTAACCATTAGGAAAACTACACCAATTGACAAACTAATACAGATAGCCATGCCCACCCACATACAATGCACTAAAGAGCCCCCCTGCCTTGCAGTCCCTGTTCATTCTCTTTCTTTCACCATTCAAAGCCTTGCACCTAATCTTCAAATTGTCAACTTCATTAAGTAGACACCTCCTCTGCCCACTGATATCATCAACTTCCCTTTTCAACTCATTCACTTCACCCTTAAGCAGCTTCTTATCCAGCAAGAGGTTATTGATAACCCCTGTTTGCCAGTCTGTCCCATCAGGTTGGTCAACCCATTCAAAGACCTTGCACCCCCTTGATTCTGTGACTGGATCATAAAACTTGCAAGCTCTGAACTTCCTCCTTGGATTCTCCCTAGTCCAGCTAGTTAACCTTGCCATTGGCACTCCACAATTGCATTTTTTCTCCTTTGAAGGAGAATAGCTCAAAGAAGACATAATCTGCATCAATTTAAGATGAATATAACAATTACTGCTCTGTACACATACGAATTCAAATTCTCAACAAAAACTTTCAATTAAACCCGTCTACCATAAAAAACCCCAATTTCAATTTCACATAAACCCTAATTTTCGAAATTGACTAATTAACTGCGACAATGCTAATCCAACCACCAAATCCAGCATAATACATAACTGAATTGCTAAACTAAGGTAATTTAAGCAATAAATACATACCAAACAAGCTCAATTTGCCATTACATTGGAGAGAAAGTGTGATTTTGATGTATGAACAAACATACCTGTTACCACCTTCAATTCCTTCCTCTTTCCCAGCAAACCCTAGAATTCTTGATATGAAATCACTTTTTTGAATGAATTGATACCAGGATCAACCTATGTAATCCACAAATTTGCTCACAAAAGAACATAAATGAAGAGAATCGTGCTTTTAAAGAGAGAATTGTAAAAAGTGACTGTTGGAGTGGGGCCCAGTAACAGTTCCGTTAACAGAAGCAAGATTTTGGTGGTAACTTCAAATTTTCAATTTTTTATGTGGTGTTAAAATAAACTTTTTTTTTTGGGTGGTGTTAATATCAATTTTCATTGATTTGTATGGTGTTAAAATCTAAAATTTCCTTAAAATTATGATAATTTTGAAAACTGACAACAGAAAAATGGAAAAACCTTTTTCTTGTTTCCTGTTTTTGGTTTTCAAAAAAACAAGAAACTAAAAACCAAAACTGATGTCAAACAAGCCCTTAATTGCTAGTTCTTCGATTTTGAAAGAGTTGTATCTTTTTAAATTTCATGTTTGTCAATGTATTTTCAGATTCAACCGTTAAATATCATGAGGTTTCATGAGCTTTTAATTTCACATTATGCGGCTAAAGTAGTTGTTTAACCCGACAAAGAATTATTGTACTACCTCCGTTACACATTATTTGCAACGATTTGACATAAAGTAGAGAGGAAAAATGTCTAATCGTTGCAAATAATATGTAACGGAGGTAGTATGTGTTTGATATGGATCCAAATAAAAGTGGATTCTCCATAAACCTTTTAACATCCAAAATGTTGAATCAAGGAGCTTTTTCAATCAATGGCTTGTGAATTGTATAAGGAGGACAAATTAGGAATAGCTTTTAGAGAGGAAGAGATCAGTAAATCCAACAAAATTATATGGTAATTAGGTTATTCTCGTGCGATCCACTATCTGAATAAATAAATAATTGTAAAATTAATTGAATGAAAAATAATCATACAATTTCTTGATAACAATGAACAAGTATACAAAAACTAAATAGAGTGCAAAGCCTAATTCTGTCGAAAACTGGTGCTCTGAAAGTAATTGACATGAATAATTAGACTTTTTTTTAGGGCATTTTGAATTGTAATAGTTGGTGAGTAAATTGTTACCAAGCATGGCCAATATTGTGAACAAAGACATGCATTGATGAGATTTATACAGCAGCTTATAATAATTTATTAAATTCATTTTTTAGTTTTATAATTAGGGGTCAATTCAGATTAATACTCCCTCCGTCCCATTATTTCATACTCCGTACTTATTTATCAAAAAACACGGTAATTAAGGAAAAAGGTGGAAGTAGGGAAAGATTCTACAGGAAAGATAAAAAATAAAGAATATTGTATGGAAATAGTAGAGAATATTGTGTGAAAAAGATAAAATGTAAGTAATGATTTTTTTGGTATATGTGTATTTTGTATGGGAACGATAAAAAGTAAGTAATAATTATGTGCTATTTTTAGAAACATGCAGAACATTTTGGGACACTCAAAAAGGAATACAGGCACGAAATAATGGGACGGAGGAAGTATAAAATTAATGCAAATTAAAAAGTCAAAATGATGCAACATGCAAGTGTACATTTCTATACCATTAAATTAGAGGCAAAAGAAGAGTTGTTAATTCGAGTAAGCGGGTCGGTATGTGTCGGTTTAGTGTCGGGTGAGGTCAATTCGGGTTCTAGTACATTTTTCGGGTCGGTTTATTAACTGTTCATATACTGACATTCACATTTAATCATCACCAATTTCTTCATTTATGGTAAGAGAATTAATTTCAGATGAGTCCATATTCCAGCTAGTAAGTTTAAACTACTTTTTGTAAATAAAAAAAAATTATTTTAGGATAAACAATTTCATATAAGTTCAAATATGAGTTTATAAAGTTTGGTTTAAATTGTGGTACAAAGTTGAAATATGAAAGCATTAATAGTCAAACAGGTCGATCAGGTCATGATTAGGTGCGGGTAAAATTTTTCGGGTCGTGTCAGCTTTTGACATCTCTAGACAAAAGAGTATGTTATACCACTTGCATGGCAACTTAAAAAGAATGAAGAAAGTAAGAGCATAAATCTACCAAAGAAAAAGGTTTAATACAAAGATCCAAAAAAGTTTGTAGATAAATTGAAGTAAAGGATGAAGCATAACTTAATTTTGATACATCTCCATGAATTAAAGTATCACAATGGAGTGTTAATACTACCTCCGTTACAGGTTATGTGCAACGATTTGACATAAAGCAGAGAGGGAAAATGTCTAATCGTTGCACATAACATGTAACGGAGGTAGTAATAGATTTCAACTAACTTACTCCATAACTACCTCCGTTAACAATTATTTGCAACAAAGGGGGTAGCACGGACTCCAAGGCAAAAGTTTTTAAACATGATTATTGAAATATAAGGGCATTACTTAAGTATTAATCCAAATTTTTTATAAAAAAAAAACCCACAATTAACCAAAACAAACCACCCAACCCAAAACAAAGAATCCCCACCACCACCACCACGGAAACCCAGAAGCCAGAATCCACCGAAAACTATCACCACCACCACCACCGAAACCCAACCACCACCGAAAACCACCCCCACCACCGAAACCCAAAAGCCACCGAAACCACCACCATCGAAAACTAAAAGCCACAGAAAACCACCACCATTGAACCCACCACCACGAAACCCAGAACCCACAAATTAAACCACCACCACCACGAAACTCAGAACCCACTAATTAATCCTCCATCACCACGAAATCTAGAACCCACCAATTAAACCACTACCACGAAATCCAAAACCCATCGAAACCAAGAACCCACTAATTAAACAACCACCACCACCACGAAATCCAAAACCCATCAATAAATCCACCACCACCACGAAACCCAAATCCCATCGATACCAAGAACCCACTAATTGAACCACCACCACCACGAAACCCAACACCACGCCGTCCACTACCCTCCGAAACCCAACACCACGTTTGAAGATGAAGGAGGAGTGAGATCTTGAAGTTGAAGGAGGAATGAGGAGTGAGATTTTGATGATGAAGGAGGAGAGAGAAATTTGACGATGAAGATGAATGTTGATATATTTGATTTTTTTTTTTTTTGGGTAAGATTAGATGAGTTAAGTTGGTTATAATAGAGTATGGTTAATGAAATGATTAAGGGATGAGTAAATTGGTTAAGTGAGGGCAGTTTGGTCATTTCTTACAAAAAAACTACCATGTGTGAAGAAAAGCTAGCTCTTAATCCCCCATAAAAAGGCTCTAGTAGACCGAAGCCATAAATGCTTATGTGTTTTAATTATCCTTTAATTCCTTTTATTGTTTTCACAACAATTCATTGACCTTGTTTTGCATAAATCAAATAAAACACTACCTCTTTCATAATAGAGAGTTAATACACATACAATCATTGTATGTGGTCCCTACATACAGTACCACTAAAATTTTGTCACATCATAAGAAAAGAAAAAACTAGGAGTCAAATATAAATTGAATTCAAATATAACTTAGACCCATAATTTTAGCCAATAAAACATGACAAATTGTAGTTGTATGTAGGGACCACATACAACAATTGTATTTGTAGCCTTTACAAGGTTTAATACAAATTAAATTCCGTACCCCATGTAACAATATATACTTGCATGTTGCATCATGAGGAGGCAATTATTAAAAAATATCACAAACGCAATTTTGTATCATGAAGAGGCAATTATTAAAAGATATCACAAACACGCAATTATTAAAAAATTATCAGAGGCAATTTTTTTATGAA